TGTCTGGGCAGGAGGTACTTACCCACCTGAGAAACAGCCCTTCCTCCAGAGACAAGTTGAAGAAACTGTCTGTGTAGTTCTTCTTAAGAATGTCTTGGTGCTTGTCACTCTCAAATTTCAGCATATCTGAAAGGTCGGGGTGGTTGTCCTCTGGAGGTGGCTGGCCCAGCAGGAAGAGTGGCACCACGGTTCGGTTCCAGTGCGTTGCTTTCTCGGCCCCAGGATTCCCGAATCGCTTGCCTTCTGGCAAAGTGTGGAGTGAGGGACTTAATCGCCAGCAACAAGAAGGGTTTCTTTGTACATTTCTCCGGCTGATCTATAAGCAGTGAATAATTGCGGCATCTCAAATACAGCAGAAAGTCTTGAAATCGTCCCACAGTTGTTAAAACCCGTAACCAACCGGGCCTAGTGGCTCACGCCTGTAATCCAAGCACTTTGGAGGCCAAAGCGGGCGGATCGCCTGAGGTCGGGAGTTCAAGACCAGCCTGGTCAGCATGGTGAAACCCCTTCTTTAAACAAACAAATAAACAAACAAAAATAAACAAACAAAAAACCCGGTAACCACCGACGTGCCCTGAGGTCAGGCTCACAGTAGTTCAGATGGCTTCCACTGGAGAGCCTGCCCGCCTCCCCCGTCTGGTTGGCCAGCCTGCTCAGGACGCGGTTGTTCCGCCGGTTCAGTTTCTCTTGCTGTTCCTTCCAGTATGCCTCGGGAGGGGTACACATCTTCCAGGACTTCTCTTTGGGTATTATTACTTCTCCTTTTCCATTTTTTTCTTGGCTACTGCTTTTGGAGGCTTCCACCATCAAATAAATGAAGACATTTGCCATCATCAGGATACCCAACAACTTTTCTTCGACGTCCAACACTCATTTCTCGTATCTTGTCCGGGAGCAGCTCCAGCTCGGCGGGGCGGGGGCGGGAGATCGAGGCCGCACCCACGTCCCGGCCGCTCCGCGCGGCTCAGCCCCGCGACTGCCCCCGCTCACCCTCCACGCGCGGCGCCCGGGACCGCGACCCGGCGGTGGGGACGGCTCCTGCTCGGCTCTGCTGGCGCCGCTGGCCTGTTTTTTTTTTTTTTTTTTTTTTCCCGAGACGGAGTTTCGCTCTTGTTACCCAGGCTGGAGTGCAATGGCGCGATCTCGGCTCACCACAACCTCCGTCTCCTGGATTCAGGCAATTCTCCTGCCTCAGCCTCCTGAGTAGCTGGGATTACAGGCACGTGCCACCATGCCCAGCTAATTTTTTTTTGTATTTTTAGTAGAGACGGGGTTTCACCATGTTGACCAGGATGGTCTCGATCTCTTGACCTCATGATCCACCCACCTCGGCTTCCCAAAGTGCTGGGATTACAGGTGTGAGCCACCGCGCCCTGTAATTGTTTTTATCTCAATTCAGATACAAAAGAATCGAGTTGAGACTACTTAGTTCAATCATGGACACCAATTTTCAAAAGAACAGCCCAATGCTGCTTTTAGGAAAAGGATTCGGTTCACAATGTTAATTCACCTCTCATGTCTCTCTCTCTCTTTCTCCTTTTTTTTTTAAAGACGGGGTTTCACCATCTTGGTCAGGCTGGTCTTGAACTCCCGACCTCAGGTGATCCGCCCGTCTTGGCCTCCAAAGTGCTTGGATTACAGGCGTGAGCCACCGCGCCCGGCCTTCATGTCTCCTTTAAAAGAGATCAAGTTAAAACAACAATTTTCACTTTGTCTCTGTCTGCTAGTATACTAGTATATGGTTTTATTTTCAATCTCTACTAGTTCCTATCTTCTTCATTGCTTGTTTTTGCATGACTCCCTGGACAGGCTCAAATAACTTATTTGTCTGGAAATCTGACCTGAGCCTGCCCACAGTTCTGCCTTTGCTCTGATTTAGCATTCTCTCTCTTGATTTTGTGTCATATTATATTTTATATTGGTATAGCTCTTCTTTCTGTCTTTGCTCCTGCTATTTCAGCACTCTTAATTCAAAGGCATGCCACTGTAATCTGGAAATTTACACGGGCAAAGGAATGGAAAGAAGCAAAGAGAAGGGAGCACAGGATTGCTAATGGTCAAGACCAGAACGTGATTAGGGGAGCATAAATAGGAAACAGATGAGAAAAAAAGAGGCTTTTAAACTACATTACCTCCAGATGGCTAAGGAGAAGGTGCTCTTTTATTGGACCTTCGTGTGACTCAGTCCTTGGGTTTGTGTTTCTCTGTCTCTGAGGGGAACTGGAAACAAATGTTGCTGTCTTTTAGCCACTTCTTCTGCTTTGCTCTTTTATGATGAAATGCATCTCAAATTAACTATTGGGGAAGTTTTCTGAGCCTTTTTTCTGTTTCTCAATGTTCATTTCATCAATAGCTATAGCTATAACTATCTTGTCACTTTAAAAATCCCTGTTCAGTTTGAACCCATTGTTTAGAGTTTTTATGGAGGCTCTATTACAAAGGCATGTTTGGTCACATCATTAGCCATTAGTGATTGAACTCGGCAACCAACCCCCATCCCAAAGTGGTCTTGGGGAACATCAAAAGTAACCTCATGAGCATAGGCACCAGGCTTGGATAAAGGGTCTTGTTATGAATAATAAAAGACACTCTTTTCATCTTAAAAATAATTTTTAAAAAATGTTCAACTAGGTAACTATTGTTACTTTTTTTCTTTCATCTTTATGGCCCTGGAGCTATTTCAGAAACTGGGAACAAAAACCAAATAGATAACATAAGATGTTTCTTGCACCTTTATGACTCTAGAACATGATCGAGAAGCTGGGGACAAAACCCAAATATTATAACAAAAGATGCTCTTCTCATTTCTGTCAACCAGGTAGTTTTAGGGTTTCAGACGCTCTGTGACAAACAAAAATGAAATATACATGTTACTTATTATATCACAAATTCAATATTCCTAATAGATTTTCTTATATTTAAGACTGTTTACTTGAGAATGTGGAAATGTTTGTGATGTTAATAGAGTAACCTACATTTTAGAGACTGTATGTAAATGATGAAGTGTTTGAAAGTCCTTGGGTAATGATTGGAGGAAACCAAAATAACTCTCTCTAAGATAACTGCATGTTATTGAGCTGAAAAAGGTAGCAATGTAGGAGAACATTTTTCCCCTCCTTCTGCTTGCCCTATGGCAGAACAATAATTTACAAAGATGAAGTTCTTTCTGCTCTTCTTTCCACTTTTCCCAGCTAAAGATTAGCTCCTTTACAATACTTGTAAAAGGATTTAAAAGCAGACATTACTCTTCCCATAAAAATGTCTTCCTGTATTTCATTTCCTTTTGGAATCCTGAAGATACTCTCTTCTCTGTCTTTTCACTGTCCACCTAAAGGAAGCAGCTGAAGTCACATTCATACAGAGTGGATTTGGACCAAGGTTGAGGACAGCTTCTTGGGAAAACACTTTCAAGTTGCCTTGGTAAGTGGACTGGAGAATAAAGGAAAGACTGAAGATTTTAAAGAAAAAAAAAAAAAAACAAAAGAATCTGTGTAATCACGGAACCAGCCCAAATGTCCATCAGTCAATGAGTGGATAAAGAAACGGTGGTATAAATATGTGATGGAATACTACTCAGGCATAAGAAGGAATAAACAGCATTTGCACTGACCTGGATGAGATTGGAGACTATTATTCTATGTGAAGTACCTCAGGAATGGAAAACCAAACATTTTATCTTTTCACTGCTTTGGGGAGCTAAGCTACGATGATGCAGAGGCATAAGAATAACCCAATGGACTTTGGGGACTTGGGTGGAAGAATGGGAGAGGGATGAGGGACAAAAGACGACAAATATGGTACAGTGTATACTGCTTGGGTAATGAGTGCAAAAGAATCTCACAAATCACCACTAAAGAAAGAACTTATGTAACCAAATACCACCTGTACCCCCAATAACTTATGGAAAAATAAATAAAAAGTAAAAAAAGAATGAATCAGGAGAGGGAGTGATTTGAAAAGTTATTCATCAGTAAATTATCATTGGTTTACAGAAACCACATTGATTAGTAATTGGCTATACACTGTGAAACTGAAGGGTTCAGTTAGATCAGAAGCCACGTAACAAGTGGCTTCAAGAGGTAATTGTTGAGCTCAAGGTGGCAGTGAGCTATGACTCTTGTCAAGTCTCTCTCATGATTCCACTCTGGACTTGAGAGTTTCAAGGGGCTCACATTTCTCAAATAAAAAGTTTTTTTTCCTTTCTCACCACCCCATAAGATTTATGGCTCTTTGTTAAAATACTATTTAAGCAAGACCTATAAGCCACTGCCTTGAAAGAGATGAATACATTTGAACTGAGTTCTCTCCTGAGTGATGGGTACAGCACACGTTAATAAACAACTGGATTTTCTCTTGTTTCTCTAACCTTTGTTTTCGGGAGAGTGTCTCTACTAAGAATCTATGGGGACAAGAAAACGAACTATATTTTCTGTGCTACAATATCAAATTTATGAAGCCTGTTTCTGATTTTATATCACTTCAGCTCCCTTTCACCTAGTCAGAGAGATTACAAAATATCACTGACATCTGCCTAGTATTAGTCTCGATGCAGTAAGAACGTTTCATCACCTATGCAGACTGATGTCAGAATGTTTCATTTTGCAGTCACATTCTTTAACAATGTTCATAGGTTTTGTTATTCACTATGTTACCCTTCATATCTAAACCATATCCATTCAATCAGACTTGTACTTACTTCCTAGGACACTGTTTAACACATGGATTAAGGCTTGCATAAAATAAGTAATCAATGTAAAGGTTAGCTAGGGAGTACTTAATTTAACCAAGGTCTCCAAATAGATTTCTTTTAAAGGATATAAAATGTCCTATTTTCATGCTAGAATGAATAGGAATCAGAGAGAGAAATTTTATGTTAGGAACTGAAGAAATGATCTAAGCATTCTTGCCAAAGTTCTCATGAGTGGTTTTCAACACGTTTCTTAATTCCTCTTTCTCCACCCACCCCGCCACCCCCATGTATTGAAATCACTGGAAACTTTAGTTGTAGCTGTGACTTCTTCTTTTGAGGTACACTTAATTTTGGAAGTCTCTTAGTCCTATGAGTGAGTGTATAGCAGTTTGTCTCTGAGCTCTGGCTTCTTTAAATGAAGCTGGGTCTCTGGGCAATATCTTTAGGGAGAGAGATACAAAGGTTCCTGGACCTTCTCAACACAGGGAGCCCGTGTAAGGATGCAAGAGCGGCAACTTCAAGGTACAGGTGAGTGTTTTCTGTTTCAGAGGAGGAAGCGTATGATGTAATAAGATCAGCTGGAGAGAAGTAGCTAAAGAACAGATTGAAGAGCTAGTGATTGGACAGGTGTAGTAGACCCAAAGGAATTTGAAAGAAAGAGTAATTCTTCAGAGTCATAAGCACTTGGAAGAATAAGAAAGCAAGTATTTTTTGGGAGGTTTGTATTAGATTTTCTTGAAAGTTTAGGGAGACAGAAAAGATTTACATTATAGAAGGTAAGCAGGGAAAGTATTGATTATTAGATAAATGCTCTTAAAAGTCTTCTGACTAATTTTGAAATCCAGACAGCAACATTCTTTCTAATTACCCTGAGATTTTTTTGGTACTTTCTCTTCTCTCTCTCTCTCTTTTTTTTTTTTTGTAAGAAAAAAGCTTCCCATTTTTAATGCATGAAAATTTGACTTTAGCTTCAACCCTTTGCATGTCGATTAATAATGTTTTAAAATGTTTTTATTAAAATTTTTTACAAAGTTGTGCATATTTATAGGGTACATGTGATATTTTGATACAAGAATATGATGTGTAATGATAAAATCTGGAAAATTAGATTATCCATCACCTCAAATATTTATCATTTCTTTGTGTTGGGAACATTCCAAATCTCGTTTAGCTACTTTGACATATACAATAAATTATTGCTGGGCTAGGCACAGTGGCCCACACCTGTATTCTCAGCATTTTGGAAGGCTGAGATGGGTGGATCACTTGCTGTCCGGAGTTCCAAACCAGCCTGGCCAACGTGGTGAAATCCCCATCTCTACTAAAAAGACAAAAATAAGCCAGATGTGGTGGCATGTGCCTGCAATCCCAGCCACTCAGGAGGCTGATAGGAAGAACAGCTTAACCCGGGAGATAGAGGTTGCAATGAGCCAAGATTTCCTCACTGCACTCTAGCCTGGATGACAGAGTGGGATTCCATGCCAAAAAAAAAGAAAAAAAAATTGTTAACTACAATTGTCCTACTGTGCTAAGGGACACTAGATTTTATTTCTTCTAATTGTATTTTTGTACCCATGAAGCAACCCTTCTCTATCTTCTCTTCCCCATTACCCTTCCTGACCTCTGGTAACCACCATTCTATTCACTGTCTCCACGAGATCACTTTTTTAGCTCCCACATATGAGTCAGAACATGCAATGTTTGTCTCTCTGTGTCTGGCTCATATCACTTAATATGGTGTCCTCCAGTTCCATCTATGTTGTTGTAAATGGCAGGATTTTATTTTTTTTTTTATGATGGAATAATATGTCATTGTATACGACATTTTCTTTCTCCATTCATCAGTTGATAGACAGGTTGATTTCGTATTTTGGCTACTGTGAATAGTGCTGCAGTAAACACGGGAGTACAGATATCTCTTGGATACACTGAAGAAACCACATGTCAAAACAGGGATGTGAGAAATGGGAGACAAAAGTGATGTTTGGAGAAAGGAAATGAATGGAAATACATAATAGTTAAGAAGAAAGAATAAAGATATGGAAATTCCAGTCGATTGAGCATGTGTTTTACCTGGATTCTTTTGGGCCACACAGAGCTACTACCTGGTTATTTATTCTAAGAGAGTTCGTAAGATGTCTTTTTGCTTTAAGTTTTTAATTGTTCTAAGGTTGTTCATCTAGTTTGTTTATTACTGCAAGGTTTCTGGGGATTTTGGCTCCCTGGCCCCCTGGTAACTGAATTTGTTGTCTTCCTGATTGAACAGAGAAAAGAGGCTGGTGGTCCCTGAAACACTGGTCTGTGGCTGGGATTTTCATTGCACTCCTCAGTGCTTGCTTCATCGTGAGCTGTGTGGGTAAGTTCTTCACTGAGCTGCTATTTTCCTTGCTTCCCTTCCCTTGAATATTGGTTTCCTAGGATATATTCTCCTTTGCCCCATTAATATGTCAGCTCTTACTTGGAATATTCATCTTTCCTTGATTTCTCCTTTTCCCTTTGTTATTCTTCCTCTATCTTTTGAAAACTGAATTCTTGTAGATTTACTTTACCCGGTTTTATTGGCATTTTCTGAATCGTGGCCTCACACATCCATGTTGTCACTGTAGCCATCATCTAAGACACCATCTTTCAGGACTGGGCTCACCAGCAAACATGCACTTTCTAGTCACAAAAGTCCTGTATTGGGAGTGCAACTCTCATTGCTGTCGTTAAGTGTAATATTTTATATTGGGTTATTTGCTTCATATGCAGATCCTTTCCAGTGTGAGAGGAAAAAGTATTCAAATGAAATAATGGAGATAAAGAGAATAAAAGATTTCTTTCCTGTTCTGCTTTCCTCTGAACACGTCTCAGGTTCCTCGTGTGAGAAGTCTTAAAGACTTTTTTCTCTCCGATTCACAATTTGAATTTCTATTCACTGATAAGGTGATTAAAAGTAGTTATTGAATAGTCTGGGAGTAAAAGTGACTTCCCATGTCAATCAGGTCATAGCTGTAGGTCCCTCAGAGAGTTAGATAAATCTGACAATATCCAGTAAAATACAAGTAATTATCACCAAAGATGGAATCTCTTTTGCTTTTTATAATCAAGTTCAAGAGAGAAGGGGGTTTAAGAATAATTATTTCATAAAAAGAAACAAAATTCAGGACCTCAAAACATGGACTAAAGAGCAAGGTAGAAAGATTTGACTGTATTGAGTTTTAGTTATAGAAGGTCAAAAAAGAAATGAGTGAAGAATCAGATCAGATTCTGCGAGATAAAAGGTCTTGCTGAATGTGAACATTAACATAAAAGTTAACGTTCATTTGAGACATTCGAAATATCTTTACAACTGTTTAAAGTTTCCCCTTTGTTGTTACTTAGCCCATATATTTATGTGTGGCTGCTTGCAGCTAGTATTATTTAGAAAGCATCAACATAGCCTGTGTGCTTGCATCAAGGTTACTAAGGCTAAAGAGAAGCAGACATCCCAGGAGTCAATAAATGTTTCTTGATGCCTTTGTGACAGTTACCCTTTTAGGTGTTTGCAATTTAAAAAATTATTAATTTTCACCTTCAGACTTCCTCCTTATTTTTTTAATAATAAAATATTTTAAAATCATTATTTAAAAAATTTGTGGGTACATAGTAGGTGTATATATTTACGAGATATATGAGATGTTTTGGTACAAGCATGCAACATGAAATAAGCGCGTTATGGAGAAGGGAGTATTTATCCTCCCAAGCATTTGTTCTATCCGTTAAGTTGTGTTTGTGATTAATTGTTGTAGGAAACAGGCAGAATCTCTGTCCACGTGTATGGAGCCTAAATCCCAATGGTGAAAAGACCAAACAATTAAATGGGAGATATATACATATAAAAGCAATAAGATAAATGAGTACAAGCAAATAATAATTTGGCATGGTCTTTACTGGGCTTGCACAGAGAAAGAGTGGTGGGGGTCAGAGGTAAGCCCGCACTGTAAAGATATAGAGCCTGAGGCTCCAAAGCAAAATAATAGATGAACACTAATCCTTCTTCTTCCTTCACAGTAACTTACCATTTTACATATGGCAAAACTCGCAAAAGTCTGTCTGAACTACACTCCTATTATTCAAGTCTCACCTGCTTCAGTGAAGGGACAAAGGTGACAGGTAAAGCTTTAAAATGCTTAAATAGACTTTCTTATTCTCAGGGAGAGATCAGGGTTGAGTTCAAAATTGGTCTATTCTATTGTGCGTGTGTGTGTGTGTTTCATTAAGGTTTCGGCTTGGATATTTTCATGATTTCTCTAAATATACATGTTCATGTATGTTTTTCTAGACATGCCCCCAAAACAATTTCTTTTTCATGCTTCTTGAGCTTGGTAAATACTATAAACCTACATGCATGTAATTTGCTCAGGCCAACCCTGGAAATTGTTCATAACAATTCTCAGTTTTTACATTCTCCTCACCCTCCATCAAATGCATAAAATGCTTTCTTTGATATTTAAGGTTCCCAATTAATACTACCTGTCTCCATCCCAAATACCAGCTTTATGACTGGTCAAATTGGTTCAGGACGAGACGGATCCCTGTCCAAAATATACTGTTGTTAACTTCATACGTGGAGAGTTGGCAGAGTTGAATTTAGGATCACGGTTGGTGTATTATTAGTCAATTTTCATGCTGCAGATAAGACATAACCCGAGACTGGGCAATTTACAAAAGAAAGAGGTTTATTGGTTTCAGAGTTCCACGTGGCTGGGAGACCTCACGATCATGGTGGAAGGTGAAAGTCACGTCTCACGTGGCCGCAGGTAAGAGAAGAGACTGAGAGCCGAGTGAAAAGAGTTTCCTCTTCTCAAACCATCAGATCTTGTGAGACTTACTCACTACCACGAGAACAGCATGGGGGACCCACCCCCACGATTCAATGGTCTCCCACAGGGTACCTCCCACAGCACGGAGGAATTACGTGAGCCCCATTCAAGACGAGTATTGGGTGGAGACACAGAGCCAAACCAGATCAGTCAGCTTCGTGGAAAAGTGAACGAGACTTTCCGTCTGGCGGCAGCTGTCGGGTGAGCCAAGATGGGTGCATGCAAGCACATCCAGGAGCTGTGGGGAAAGAAGCGGTCTGACGTCCTGCGCTTTCTTTGGAGGGTCCGCTGCTGGCAGCACCGCCAGCGCTCTGCTCTCCACTGGGCTGCCCGTCCCACCCGGCCTGATGAAGCGCAGACTGAGCTACACGGCCAAGCAAGGTTACGCTATATATAGGATTCGTGTTCGCCGTGGTGGCCGAAAACGCCCAGTTCCTGAGTGGAACTTAGGGCAAACCTGTCCATCACCGTGTTAACCTGCTGAAGTTTGCTCCAAGCCTTCAGTGTGCTGCAGAGGAGCGCGTGGGCGCCACTGCGGGGCTCTGAGAGTCCCGAATTCTTACCGGGTTGGCGAAGATTCCACATACAGATTTTTTGCACTTATCCTCATTGATCCATTCCATAAAGCTATCGGAATAAATCCCGACACCCAGTGGATCTCCAAACCAGTCCACAAGCACAGGGAGACGCGCGGGCTGACATCTGCAGGCCGAAAGAGCCGTGGCCTTGGAAAGGGCCGTAAGTCCCACCATACATTTGTGGTTCTCGTCGGCAGCTTGGAGAAAGGGCAATACTCTCCAGCTCCTCTGTTACTCCTGATATAAGTAAACTTTGTAAACTTCATATCTAATAAACAATTTAGGACATTCAAAAAAAGAAAGAAAGAAAGTAAAAAGAAAAAGGGGAAGAGAAGTAAATAGTGGTCTTTATGGCTTTAAGCTTCCAAAGTAAAGAAATGTCATCTGGACAGATGTCAGACTCTTGCTATTTCAAAAATCAATTAATTCCTCTGCTTGTACTGAGAAGCCTGTGAGGATTGAAGGGAGGAAGAAGCTTCTTTGTACTTCAAGGAGATTCAGGAATTTTCTCTTTGGTATTTGTCGAGAATATGGTACATGGGAGATGTAAAGGATTTTTTTTTTTAACTTTCCCTGACTTACGTCATGCTGAGGGCTTTTTGGTGAAACAATTTCGAGCTGACTCTTCTTGTCGGGGTGGGGGTAGGGTATGGGGGATCATAATTCTATCAGGATAGTCTTCCTCCCACCTATGTGGAACACTGCTTCAACAACTACCATTTGAATGCATATTTTCCTGGAAGCAACAATGGGCACCTTAGCTTTTATCTTCAGAATGCTCTGAAATGAGACAGAGATGGATATTAATTAAATTAACTCTATACCCATGTGGCATAAGAGACTGTTAATTTGCCCCCTAAGTATATCCAATGTAAAATTATGACCAGCCAAGCTGTCCAATACAACTACTTAAAGTTACAGAAAACCTTATGCGATAAAACACAATTATTTTATATAATACCATGTCAGCCAATAAAAGTGCTCTAATTTTAACAACATCCTTTCAAGTTATCATTACAATGAAAAATAAAAAGTCCAAACACAAAATTTCCATTTTGATTAAGGTTAAAGAATAATTGAAATCCACACTGTATTTTCTTCAGTTTGTTTCCCACTCAGTCTCAGCGTGTGGAGACATTCAGCTGCATAGAAAGAGCTGGAGTTCCTTCAATCCACTTGCACTCTGCTTAGACCAGTTTGCTTTTAACTATTTTGCTTGTCAACCCCCAAAAAGGATTTTGAAAACATACGTACTCTCCTCTACAGTTTAATTTGACATTAAATTGTTCATCGTGCTATAGAAGCAAATGCTTTAATTTCTGGAACATTGTAAATGTTGACTTTAAAAAACCAAACTGTTATTTCTCTTTTAAAATGTATTTACTTGTGTATAAATACTATTACCAAATGTTAATCCCCATCATCCGTTAAAACAATAATAAACATGTATTATTTAACAGCTGGATGTTTTACATCATTCTTCTATCCCCTTGAACTAAAATTTACATTATGCTTTCCTCTTCTGTGAAAATATGTGGTAAGCATGCCTAATATTTTGATTTCCTGTGGACCATTAGGCTTCAAGTGTTATAAAATGTGTTCTGGATTGATTTACTATCATAATTATTATCAGGACATAATATCAAAACATCACAAATTTATTACAGACTTTGATAAATCATTAATAATAAAGAAAAAGTATTGGAAGTCTAAATCTTAATGAGATGAATGAAACTTTTAAAAAGTTATCAAATGGGCCGGGCGCGGTGGCTCATGCCTGTAATCCCAGCACTTTGGGAGGCCGAGGCCGGTGGATCACGAGGTCAAGAGATCAAGACCATCCTGGTCAACGTGGTGAAACCCCGTCTCTACTAAAAATACAAAAAATTAGCTGGGCATGGTGTCGCGTGCCTGTAATCCCAGCTACTCAGGAGGCTGAGGCAGGAGAATTGCCTGAACCCAGGAGGCGGAGGTTGCGGTGAGCCGAGATCGCGCCATTGCACTCCAGCCTGGGTAAGAAGAGTGAAACTCCGTCTCAAAAAAAAAAAAAAAAAAAAAAGTTATCAAATGTAACTATAATATTATTGCTAACATATTCAACATCAGTTCAACTCCTATTTTCCAATTTAACAACATTCACTGAAAAATCTTGCTTACCTTAATCAGTGGATAAGAATGAAAAAATTTTGTTTGAGTATAACTCAATTTTTGATATTCTTTCAGCACTACCTGCTTAAGATTATATAGTAATTTATTGCCAAAAATTATTTATAATGGTTTGCGAACTGAGAATTTGATCAGGTTACCCCCAGTGTTGTTGAAAGCAAAGAATAAGAAATATTGTAGAATAATTTTGCAAGAGATTTGTTATTTCTTAGTAGTTTTATTGCTTTCTCAAAAGTATACCCAGAAGTATTCTAATAAGGCTTATCAAATGATTATTATTTTCATCTGTTACTTTCTACACTTGCAAAGTAACTTGATCAGCTCATTATTCTTGGCATAAACTGAGAAAATAAAATATAAGTAATGTTAGTTATACCTTTTTGACAGATGCTTTTATTGATCACAACTGTCAATATTTTTTGTCAGCCTTGGAGTGGCAATCTCACATGTTCAGCTTATGAGAAATTTCTGGCATATATATCTCAGTTAGCAAAGTCAGTCAAATTTGACTTTTAAAAATTCAAATCATATGTTAACATATATGTTGGGACATATTAAAGCAATCATTAATAATGAGCAGAATGTACAATGAAGGTATATTTCTAAAAGCAACCAATATGTAAATAATACAGAGGTGGTTAATCTATTTTATTCATTTTATAACATTATAAAAGGAAGAATAAGCTTTTTGGTTTTTAATCACTGAATAGGTAATGATGTAATAATGTAAAAAAGGAATAAAACAGAACTGTATATGATAACATGGATGAATATTAGCAATACAAAATAAAAAATAAGCCCAAGAAGATCACATATATTATAATTACTGTTTCAAATTTCAAAACCCAACAAATCTAAACAATTTACTATTTAGGCTTACATAGATATTTGTTTAAGTTATATGAAATGAAAATCAGATTGATTTTAAGTATAATGAAAATATAGTAGTGGATTTATATATGACTAGCTATGGATTTCTTTAATCCTAGGATAGAGCAAACTGGTACTTGCAAGGGGATGGGAGAGAACTGCTAATCGTTTAAGATGCTTAAGCACTTAATACGGTGTGAAAATTAGTAATAGGTAACATTTATTGAGCAATTATTCTATGTTAAGCATCTTTTAAAATGCTTTATACTTATTACGTGATTAAATCCTCCTGCGAGGTTGGCTCTATTATTATTTCCATTCTGGAGATGCAGTAATTGAGGCTCAAGGAGGTTATGAATTTGCCCAAAGACATACCTGATAAATGGGGGAGCCAGAATTCTAAAGAGGCATAATTCTAATTCTCATAACTAACCTGTGAGTAGTGATCATTTTAAAAACGTAAGGCTCTGTCGCTTGTGCAAGATTACTGAGCAGAGCTGGGTTTCTAGGTTCATCTGTGTTAGTCACTTAAAACTCTAGGAGGACTCGGTGCTCATAATGCATAAGGAAGATGAAAAACAAAACTCAATCGTGATTTTTTTAAAAAAAGAAAATCCAGAGAAATTCTGCAGGTAACTTTAATATATACTGAGGACTTAATGCTAAAGAATATTTATTTGAAATCAATTCTAGGACCCCAAATTATATAATTCAGGAAACAGTGAAAACATGAATTAAGGAACTGTCTGTAGAAAGCAACCACAGATCATTAATCTTATTTATCTCATCTTGCACTCACTCTTTTTTTTTTTTTTTTTCATGTAACACAAAAATAGCCTGGGGATGTTGCCCAGCTTCTTGGAAGTCATTTGGTTCCAGTTGCTATTTCATTTCTAGTAGGGAGAACTTTTGGTCTAAGAGTGAGCAGAGCTGTGCTGAGATGGGAGCACATTTGCTTGTGATCAACACTGAAGCAGAGCAGGTACGGTTTTCATTTTTAAACGATTTAATTGTAGAAAAAACACAGAACATAAAATTTACTGTCATAACCATTTTTAAGTGTACAGTTCAGTAGCGTTTACTGTTTTCGCATTGCTGTGTAACAGATCTCTAGAACTTTTTCATCTTGCAGAACGGAACTCTCCACCCATTGAACAGCAGCTATCCATTTCCCCATTCCTGAAAGCCCTGGGAATCACTTCTCTAATTTTGTTTCTACGAGACTATTTTAAACACTTTATATAAGTGAAATTATACAGTATGTGTCTTTTTTTGTATAACCTATTTTATTTAGTATAATATCCTCAAGATTCATGCATGTTCTAGTATATGACAGGACTTTCTTTCACTCCAGGGCTGAATAACATTCCATTGTATGTGCATCTCACACTTTCTTTTTGTTTCTTTGTTTTATTTAAGGTGTACACTGTGATGATTTGATATACATATATATTGTGAAATGGTTACCACAATCAAGCTAATCAATATATCCATACCTCATATATTTAAGCTTCTTTTTTTCCTTTGTGTGGTGAGAATTTGTAAGATGCCACACTTCCATTCATTTACTTGTCAATTGTCATTTAGGTTGCTTCCACTCTGTGGCTATTGTGAATAATTCTGCCATAAATGTGGGTGTGCAAATAATCTTTGAGAGTTCCCATTTTCAATTCTTTGGATATATACCCATAAATGGGATTTCCGGATCACATGGTAGTTCTATTTTTAATTTTTTGAGGAAACTTCATACTATTTTGATACTGACTGTGCCATTTAATATCACCAGCAAGAGGACCCAAGGGTCTCATTTCACATTCTTGTCAACACTTGTTATTTTGTTTTGTTTTGCTTTTTGAATACTGGCAATCCTAATGGAGGTGAGATAATATCTCATTGTAATTTTGATTTGTATTCTTTTAATAATCAGTCATGTTGAGTAACATTTTTTTTTTTTTTTGAGACAGAGTCTTGCTCTGTTACCCAGGCTGGAGTGCAGTGGCAGTGATCTTGGCTCACTGCAACCTCCACCTCCCAGGTTCAAGCAATTCTCTGCCTGAGGCTCCCGAGTAGCTGGGATTACAGGCACCTGCCACCATGCCTGGTTCATTTTTGTGTTTTAGTAGAGACAGGGTTTCACCATCTTGGCCAGGCTGGTCTTGAACTCCTGACCTTGTGATCCACACGCCTTGGCCTCCCAAAGTGCTGGGATTAGAGGCGTGAGCCACCACACCCAGCCGAGCAACATTTTAAATGTACTGTTGACAGTGTGTATATCTTCTTTGGAGAAATGTCTATTCAAGTCCTGTGCCCACTTTTTAACTGGATTATTTGTTTTATTGCTGTTGAGTTGGAGGCATCCTTATATATTCTTGATATTAACTCCTTACCAGATATATGATTTGCATGTATTTTCTTTCATTTCATAGGCTGTCTTTTTATTAGTTGATAGTTTCTTTTGTTTTGTAGAAATTTTTTAGTTTGATGGAGTTCCATTTTTCTATATATATATATATTTTTGCCTTTGCTCCCTGTGATTTCGGTTTCATATCCAATACATTGCCAATTTCAATGTCATGAATCTTTTTGCTTATTTTTTTTCCAGGAGTTTTACAATTTTAGGCCTTTGGTTAGGTCTTTAAAACATTTTGTTAATTTCTGTATATGATGTTAGGTAAGGATTCAACTTGATTCTTTTGCCTGTGGATATCCAGTATTCGTAGCACCATTTGTTAAAGAGATTGTCCTTTCTCCATTGTGTGGTCTTGGCACCTTTTGGAGATTATTTGACCATATGTGTGAGGGTTTATTACTGGACTCTCTATCCTCTTACATTGGTCTCTATGTCTGTCTATATGCCAGCACTGCACAGTTTCAATTACTGTAGCTTTGGAACATATTTTGAAATCAGGAAGTGTGAGGCATCCAACTTTGTTCTTTTTCAAGGTTATTTTGGTTAGTAGGGATTTCGTAATATTGCATATGAATTTTAGAATTTTTTTTCTTTCTGCAAAATATAACATTGGGATTATGGTAGGGATCACAGTGAATTATTAGATTGTATTTCAACTATATTAACCCTACCAGTCCATAAACACGAGATGTATTTCCATTGATCTGTGTCTTCTTTGCTTTCCTTTATCAATGCTTTTTTTTTTTTTTTGAGACAGAGTTTCGCTCTTGTTACCCAGGCTGGAGTGCAATGGCGCGATCTCAGCTCACCGCAACCTCCGCCTCCTGGGTTCAGGCAATTCTCCTGCCTCAGCCTCCTGAGTAGCTGGGATTACAGGCACGTGCCACCATGCCCAGTTAATTTTTTGTATTTTTAGTAGAGACGGGGTTTCACCATGTTGACCAGGATGGTCTCGATCTCTTGACCTCGTGATCCACCCGCCTCGGCCTCCCACAGTGCTGGGATCACAGTCATGAGCCACCGCTCCCGGCCCTATTAATGCTTTATAGTTTTTATGGCACAAGCGCTTTGTCCTCTTGGTTAAGATTATTTCTAAGTATTTTATAATTTTTGATGCTACTTATTTATTTATTTTGCTTTTTTTTTTTTTCCTTAAAATGAAATTTTACTCTGTCATCCAGGCTGGAGTGCAGTGGCATAATCTCGGCTCACTAAAATCTCTGCCTCTCAAATTCAAATGATTCTCCGACCTCAGCCTCCCCAGTAGCTGGGATTACAGGTGTACGCCACAATGCCCGGCTAATATTTGTATTTTTAGTAGGGATGAGGTTTTACCATGTTAGCCAGGCTAGTCTCAAACTCCTCACCTCAAGTGATCTGCCCACCTCAGCCTCCCAAAGTTCTGGGATTACAGGCATGAGCCACCACATCTGGCCTTGATGCTACTTTAAATGGAATTATTCTCTCAATTTTCTTTTTAGATTGTTTATTTTTAGCGTTTAGAAATGATAATAATTTTCTCTACATCGATTTTGCATTCTGAAACCTCTGAATTTGCTTGTGAGATCTAATAGATTTTTGTTTAATATTTAGGGTTTTATATATATAAGATTATGTCATCTGTGAACAGAGACAATTTTACTTCTTACTTTCTGATTTGGATTGTTTTTATCTCTTTTTCTTGCCAAGTTCCTCTGGATAGACGTTCTAGTACTATGTTGAAAAGAAGTGATGAGAATAGGCATTTTTGCCTTGTTCTGATCTTAGAGAAAAGCTTTTAATTTCTCAAAATTTAGTATGATCCAGGGATGCAAGGATGGTTTAACATCTGCAAGTCGATAAATGTGATGCACCATATAAACAGAATTAAAAACGAAATCACATAATTATCTCAATAGACACAGAAAAAGCATTTGACAAAACTCAGCATCCCATTATTATTAAAACCCTCATTAAAATCTCATGTATATCAAATCCACAGCCAACATTATACTCAACAAGGAAAAGTTAAAAGCATTCCCCCTGTGAACCGGAATAAGACAAGGATGCCCACTCTCACCACTTTTATTCAACATAGCACTGGAAGTCCTAGCCAGAGCAATCAGACAAGAGAGAAAAACAGAGGGCATCCAAACTGGTAATGAGGAAGTCAAACTGTCACTGTTAGCTGATGATGTGATTATATACCTAGGAAACCCTAAATACTCATCTAAAAAGTTCCTAGAACTGATGAATAAATTCAGCAAAATTTTAGGATACAAAATTACTGTACTGAAATCAGTAGCTCTGCTATACATTAACAGTGACCATACTGAGAATCAAATCAAGAACTCAACACCTTTTACAATAGCTGCAAAACCAAAAATACTTAGGAATATACTTAACTGGAGAGGTGAAAGACCTCTCTAAGGAAAACTACAAAACACTGCTGAAAGAAATAACAGATGACCCAAGCAAATGGAAACACCACCTATGCTCATCAGTGGTTAGAAACCATTTTGTTAAAATGATCTTATTTCCAAAAGTGATCTACAAATTCAATGTAATTTCCATCAAAATACCACCATCATTCTTCACAGGACTAGGAAAAAAAATCAATATGGAACCAAAAAGGAGCCTGCATAGCCAAAGCAAGACTAAGTAAAAAAAGACAGACCTGGAGGCATTACATTACCTGATTCCAAACTATGCTATAAGGCCATAGTCACCAAAACAACATGGTACTGGTATAAAAATATACACATAAACCAGTGAAATAGAATAGGAAACCCAGAAATAAACCCAAATACTTACAGTCAACTGATCTTCAACAAAGCAAACAAAAACACAAAGCAGGAAAAGGACACCCTATTCAACAAATGGTGATGGGATAATTGGCAAGCCAATGTAGAAGAATGAAACTAGACCCTCATTTCTCACCTTACAAAAAATCAACTCAAGATGGATCAAGGACTTAAATCTAAGACCTGGAACCATAAAAATTCTGCAAGATAACATTGGAAAAACCCTTCTAGACACTGGCTTAGGCAAAGACTTCATGACCAAGAACCCAAAAGCAAATGCAACCCAAACAATGCTAAACAGTTGGGACTTAGACCAAAAAGCTTTTGTACAGTAAAAGAAATAATCAGCAGAGAGAGCACACAACTGACTGAGTAGGTGAAAATCTTTGCAATCTGTACATCTGACAAAGGACTCATATCCAGAATCTACAAAGAACTGAAACAAATCAGCAAGGGGAAAAAAAAAAAAAAAAAAGCAAACAGTCCCATCCAAAAAATGGGCTAAGGACATGAACAGACAATTCTAAAAAGAAGATATACAAATGATCAACAAACTTACGAAAAAATGCTCAACATCCCTGATGATGAGGGAAACGCAAATCAAAACCACAATGTAATGACACCTTATTCCCCCAAGAATAGCCGTAATCAAAACATCAAAATATAATAGATGTTGGTGTGGATGTGGTGAAAAGGGAACACTTTTACACTGTTGGTGGGAGTGTAAACCAGTACAACCAGTAAGGGAAACAGTATGGAGATTCCTTAAAGAACTAAAAATAGTTTAGT